GACAACACTGCATCATCTTGACAGTCCTTTCTAAGTCTATAAAAGATGAGCTGTAAGTTCTTCAGAGTCTTGCTAACATATAAGCCGGCAGCAGCAAACTGCCATCTCCAGAGCCATGCAGGACAATGACAGATTGGTGAAAGCCAGGCTCGTTCTGCCAATAGCAGTGTCCAGCCATACTTCCCAATTGTTGGCTAATTAGTAGAAATAGAGATTTCCAAGACAGCAAAAGACGATTAGGGGGCTCTGCAGAAGCCTCAAGGCTGGCTGTGAGACAAACCCCAGAGGACTGTGGTACAAAGGCTCTGCATGTGTGCCCCCGATTTTAAGCTGACAGAAATGAGTGCTGGACTGAAGGCCTGACAGTCATTTATTACCTGAAACTGGCTGATGATCTCAGTCCACCTTTTACTGGATAGCTGCCTACACCACTAAAGAAACAGCTCATGCTACCAAATTTGTGGACATTCAGGCTACTGCTTTAAATTGACCACGAGGGCTGAGATATCTGAGCCACCTCCACAGAGTCCATCTGGTTCAGGACTGAGGCAAACTCAGTCCTGGGAGGGGAGAAGGACTTTATGTAGTTTGCTTATACTGTACCTGTCCAGATTAAAGAGAGGACTCGTTATTTGTCTGTCAGTCTGGCATACTTGCCATGCACTCCAGTTCTGTAAAACTTGGCCTCTGGAACTCTTTAAATAACCGGATGGACTGGTTAGCAAAAGGTTGCTGGGCGAGCAGAAACATTAAGATACAGCCTAAACAACTTCAGCAACTGTGGGAAGTCAGGTGGATTTGCTGGTTGTACTACCCCAAAATTAGCTTTGCAGGGGTTATAATTTAGGACAATATTGTGCAGCTGTAAATTCAACTGAAGCAGTTGTGTAGGGCTCCCATCTCAGAATCATTAAGGTTGCAAAAAACCTCCAAGAACTTCCCCTTGGGATGAGTGGTAAAAATGAAAGAGGTCACCAAATGGTTACACTCAATGTAAAGCCAAATAAAATTAATTTAATACTTGAAGAGAACTGCAAGATAGGAAGTTTCCAGTGCTATAAAAGAGGTTCAGTCCTTTGTCCCCCTTTGAGGCAAAACTACTGATTGTAATTAGCCTCATGTATGAACTATAACTACTTGTATGAATACCCAACTTGTAGGAATTCTGGTTATTTGTCCAGAATAGACAAACCTTAGATCTGGAAATCAGGTCAGAAATCAGAATGTAGGGTCAAATCATTGAAATTCTGGTTACAGTGAAAATGCAAGGGTTGCTTTTGAGGTTATAAACCATATATATGGCTATATTCAGCTTCTTTCTAGCCTAAACCTCCATTAGGTAATCCCCCTGTACCTAATGTCATTCAGACTCCCCTCTAATACAGAGCCTACAGAGTAAATGCTGTGTTGTTTAAAAATCAAAATTTTATGGTAAAAGTGAGGAGCAGAACTCTGAGGGCTCCAGAAGGATGCTTTGGTGACAGCCTGCTGTCACTTCTAAGCAGGAGGGAAATGTGATGCATGACAGACAGACTGACAAAACCTGGACTCAGGTCAGGTGCTGCTGGAGACACCAAATCTGTTGCTTTGAACGGCTCTCTCGAGGAAAGCAGCAGCTGCTGCTGCCTACAGAGAACTGTGGTGTCTGAAACTGCTCAGGGGTCTAAAAGTAGTCCCATACAGAGCCTCCATTACAACAGGTAATCAGAGTAAGAGATTCTTCAGAGAGACAAGGGATGAGTTCCTTGGAAAGTACTTGGAAAAGACAATTTCAAGCTATCTGTGGAGGAAAAAGATCAAAAAGAGATAGCAGATTTTTATCCTTGTTAGTAAGCACCTCCATAATGGAAACAAATGCTCCGTGTTCCAGCTCTTTCTCAAAGAAACTGGTGTTCTGTGCCTCGTCTCCGAGCTCCAGCCCAGCAGAACAGGGATGTCTGCTCACAGAACAACGAGGTACAGCAGCACAACAGATGCAGCTACATCACTTTAGGCCTGTTTGGAAAATTTCCCATAGCACTTTGGCCTTAGACACAAAACTCAGCACATCACAGCCCATGTTCCCAGACAACAGGATATTCCCATACGAAAAGGAGGGCTGTTCAGCACTGTGGCAAAATGTGAGAGGCAGTGTCGTGGCAAAGGCTCTGCCAGAGCCAATCCTTTCTGGAAAAGCAGCAAAGGGCACTAGAGCCCAGCTCCATTCTGCAGCCAGGGTGATTCCCCACCTGCCCCCAGTGCAAAGTCCTCCAAATCAGCCAGGCCAATCCTCAGAGAAAGTGGAAATTACAGAGCAGAATCATTACAAGGCACAGAAAATTATGCAGTCCAACTATGAAGCACTACTATTGCTTTTTAGATTGGAAGACTCATTTAAATTTAATTAATCAGACCACCTTCATGTACAATTAAAACTGTATCTCTCAGTGATACTTCAGCTTGAGAACCACATGACCTTCAGGAAAACAGAGCTTAGCAAATTATTGCTTCTAAATTTTGCATGTTGAGGATTTGGTGAGTCACCTGCAGACATGACTTTTGGGTGTGTTGAAATGGTGACACAGGCAGGCCAAAGGAAGTATCCTTGCCCTTCTCCCTGCAGTGTTAAGCACAGATTTTCAGTTGTTTGGGAGCTGACAGCATGGGACCAGCTCTTGTCTTTGGTAAAACATCCTTCCCTCACTGTAAAAGCAGGTTTTTCAGTCAGCTTCCCTTAAGGTTAAACATAATCACTCAGCTGCTCTTCCAGCCTCCTTATAGTCTCCTCAAACAACTGTGAGATCACCTGCAAATTAGCATTAAAAATCAGGGACGGCAGCAGTGCTGGAAGCAGTTCAAGCTGAAAGTCAGACTGAGTGTGCTCCACTGCAGTCACAGTCTCAGGTGGGAACTCTGATAAAATGACAGTGTAGAATGACAGCTTAAGAGGAACCTGTGGGTGGGTAGGCATTAAACCTGTCCCAGACACACAGAATCATCACCCAAGTCACACAAGAAAAGGTTGGTGAAACAGCACAAAATTATCTAATTGTATTAGGAAGAAGAACATGTTATCTAATTCATGTGTTGCGCTGCCAGAAATCCAAATCAGAGCTCACAACACTGTAATTTTGGATATCTTAAGACACAGAGTAAAGTGACAGATAAATTCTTCTCATCTTCATTCAGGATCAAAAGCCACTGGATTTTTTGTGGCCGTCACAGATTCAAACCAAATGAAGGGGAATGCAAAATTTCACAGTGCCTGTCTCCTAAGACCTTCCATACCATAAACACCAGGGCAACAGTACTTGGTGCTGAAACAGTCTCCCAGTCAGCCTCAGAGTTAGATGAAGCAAAATCAACACCATAACTAAAGCAAAGTGAAGAGGAACTTGCAGTGGGCCACTTTTGTATCTCTAGTTTTTATATTACAACACAATCAAGAAATCACTGATGAAGATTGAATTCTTCATTCCTTCCTATATCTTAGCAATTCTCAGTAGAGAAAAGAAATATTAAGAGTACATAGTACCACTACTTAATGAAATAGTTAATGATCCTTTCATGAGGCAGCTCTTGCCCTAGACTTAATTTCTTTTAGCATCTAAACAGTGCTAAGAAACCCAGTAATTAATTCTTGAGCCCTTGCAAACAGCCACCTTCCTATTGTTAACCTTCTCCCCGTGAGACAACGAGTACAAAGCTGTCAGGGCTGTGTCTCCACGGGGGACAGGCATGGGGAGAGTGTGATAAAACACTTGAAACGTCTCTGGCTCTTCCTCTCACACGGTGCCCAGAGCAGCTGTTCCAGTAACAGCTCCTGGGCATCCAGAGGGATGGGTTTTGCCCAAGCCACAGTGGTGACTGGCAGCCCTTGCCATCGGTGATCGATGGGAAGGTTGTATCCGTCACTGCTCCTGCAGTGCCTTGTGTCCTCTCTGCTGATTGTAACCAGGGACACACCTGCCTGGGAAGAGGCTCTTTTGGCATGCAGTGCACCGAGGGATTTACAGTTGGATTAATGGCTGTATGTCTGCTTTAAATACCTCATAGGACAGATCTTCTGGGAAGGGCAGGCATTGCAATGGGACTGGCAGAGTCCCCTGGCTCACAGGCACCAGGCTCTGAATGCAGCAGCACATGGGTAGGACTGAGGAATACTGTCCTTTCACAGTGTACTAAACCAGGCCCCAAGAAAAGCTTTAATATCAAGACATGCTCCCATGGTGAACTTGTTTATCTTGTTCAGTTTTCCTTGTGACCTCTCAGCAAACCTGTTTTAAAGGCTTTCCTGTGTCCCACTACTCTCTGTCCAGCAGCAGAACTCCTCTGCACCAACTGTACAGACATCTTTCTCTCTCAGTTCAGCAAAGGGTTCTTTGGTAGCCAGCAATCCCCTGGCCTTGCAGACCTTGGTCTAATATGAATAACACACTTTTTAGGAGTTCCCTTGACAAATACCCAGAGCACACAGAAGTCCAGCCTCCTGAGAGGACAGACAGACTCTGGGCAGTGGGTGGTGAGCTATACACACATGCACCAAAGGATCACTGCTCTCCAGGGAGCATGGAAAGCATCTGCCAAAGGAAACCCTCCCAACTTCCTGCCAGGGCATGAAAAGGAGTGACACCATCACCGACACAGTGACAAGTGTGGAGTGACAAGTATGGAGTGACAAGTGTGAAGTGACAAGTGTGGAAGTGCCTCACAAGAGGGACTGATTTGTTGGTAATGCTCTGAAACCTCCTCATCCCCCTAAGGAGTAGGAACAACAGCCTCCACCAAAGCTGTCACCTCCATGGTGTCCAATATCCTTTCCACATCTTCATCAATCACAAAGCCACATCCCAGACAGGCAGGCCAGTAACTCAGGGGTAACATTCACATGGACATCATTTGGGCTCCCTAGGGAATATCTGTTCTACAGCTGGGGCTCTCATTCAGTAATAAACTAATTTCCTTAATCCTGAGATTTTACCCTTTCTTCTCCAGAAAGACACAAAGAACAGTCCACTCACCAGCAGAAAGGGCCCTGAACCTTCCCGACAGGTGTCCGTGGAATCTGTCCTTGAAACTGCAGTGGAAGTGATTCCCATCTTTCACATTTACGTGATGATAATTTCCCACTGGAGATTTCTCATTCTGGGTCTCCGTTTCATTTTGCAGGATGGCCACCACTGCTGTAGCTGAATGCCAGCACCGAGTTCATGCCACCTCCTGCAGTCAACGTCTGCCTGAGGAGACAGAATAAATAGTTATTAAACCTTCTCTGGATTTGCTGTCATATTGTAACTAGGCACTGGAAATCAAATAAATATATCATAAGACGAGCAGTTAAGATGTCTACTGAAAAAACAGACTCAGGCAAAATGGCTTAATCTGCAGCATTAATGAGGAACAGATTGTTCCATCAATAGTATATAAGGAGCAGCACGCAAGAAGGCAAGTCCCCAAGTTCCCTGGGACTCACACCCTTGTAAAAGGCCCAGTTCAGAAGAATACTCAAGGACATGATTAAGGTTAAGCATGTGTTTAAATCCCATTGATTCAGTGAGACTGAGGTGCTTTACTAAACTGGAGATTATTCTGTGCATAAAGCTCAAAGTCAGAAGCAAGAAGGGCTGGGAGGAGGGGGCTGGCCAACTCTATGCAGATGGACATATGCATCCATCCTGCTATCCCAGCTCTTAGCAAGAGGGAGATAGCTGTGTCTCATCATCAGCCTCAGAACCGCCCCTGAGATGCACCTCCTAAGTCAGCCTCAGTCTATGCCACACATTATCTTTCTTCCTAATGTAATCATCAGTATAAAGAGAAAAATGAAAAGGGATCCTCTGACTTTGCCTGGACCAAGTGTCCATCCTGACTCCTGCCAGCACAGGCACAGCTCCCAGACACATCCCAGCACAGCCATCCTGTGCTCCCTGCTGTGCAGCACATGCACATTTGGAGATGACCAGTAGGAGTTCCAGGATCCAAACAGGACCAGGGCCCCACTTGGCATGCAGACTGAGAAACCACATTCTTTCTCAGGCAGCTTGCTGACTTATTGAATGCTGAGAGAACAAGGGAATAAACCATGCCTTTAAGGACAGAAAGGGAGTCTGAGAAAGGGAGATAGTAAAACCAGATGGATAATATTTCTTCTGTTGAATACATGCACCTAAACCCCAGCAGAAACAATACAAGGCTATGGATTTGTGTGTGCAGCCCTGGCTACCAGGAAGGCCCATCTCATATGAACTGAGTACCTCTGCCGTGCCATTAACTGGATGGGGCAGAGCAAATAAAGAAATTGCTTCCCAGAAGCAGTGGAGACAACTGGCCAGCTCTTGCTGTGGTTGATTGAGATTGGCTCTGTGTTTCTTATGTATTATTACTCTGGCTTAATTTATTCCTTCATTTCTAGTGTCTGATCAGGTGAAGCAGACATAATACTCTGCTCCTATACACACACTGTAATCTGTTCCTACTCCCTTAACAACAAGGGTCAGCATGGACTGTGGTTAGGAAAGCAGAAGAAATCAGTGTGATGGGTACTAGTGAATGGCCTGCTCTTCCATGAATGCTTTGCTGCCTAAAGCTTAAGAAGTCACATGGGGTGTTTGAAGAGAGGAGAAAATATCCTTAATTGGCAAAGCCTTAGGAGACCAGGGCTTTCATCCAGCTGTTGCATCGAGGTGAACTGAAGCCTCCAGGGTGTTTGTACATGGATGGTGCTCACAAGTTAGGCTGATGTGGACAAATACGGGGAAAGAGAAGGACATCGCTAGGATCAGTGCAAACCCCCTTAGTTTTGATTTCTTGGCAAAACCAACTGTCTTGATGTTTAAACTTTTTATATTATTTAATCAACTTGGTGATTCTGAATCCAAACTAGCTCAATTCACAGTTGGGATTTGTGGAAAGACAGTGGGTCTGCTACTATTCATACCATAGTCCCTCTTCAAATCCCTTGGGAAATGAAGACTGAGTCTGCAGTCTAGTAGCAGAAGACAGTGATTTCACTTTAACTGCAACAGGAAATCACTGCGATGACCTTGGATGAGTCAATAACTTCTGGCTCCTGTCAGATGGGGAAGAGGGAGCCTTACTTGCCTGCATGGGAGATCATGAGGGCTGGAGCTGGGTATTCTGAACAAGCCCTTTGAAATTCTGTGGGGAAGGGTTCCAGAACAAGGCAAAGCCATGGACCTCCCTCACCCACAGCTCTGTGCAGCTCACCCATCCCACGGGGAGGTGCAGTGACGTGACCCATTGGAGCAGAAACCAAGAGGCTGCCAGGAGGACTCACAGTTCGCTCACACCTGTAATGTGTGTGACTCCTGGCTCGCACTGCCCCACCTGAACACGGTGTGCTCGCTGTAAGGAGCTCCCACACGAGCCAGGAAGCTGCCTTGGTTTGATGCCACGGAATAGACACGTTATTCTCCGAGTGCTGGGACCCGACCAAGGATGGCAGCAAACATTTATGAGCACAGGTGTTACTGGCAGGTGTTTTGTTTCCGAGGAAGCTCCTTCTGGCTGAGAGGCTGCCAGCCCATCTATCCGCCCCCCCGCATTGCCACACAACCTCGCCTCCCCCAGGGACTTCCAGGCAGGCCTATTTGCAAACAGCAGGCACAGGCAATGAACACATCAGGCAATTAAATGGCAGATCAATTCGACTTAGCTTCTCTTGGGAAAGCAGCCCTTGGGAGACAGAAGAATGAGGCAGCAGGAGACAAAGGCAGAGAGAAAAATTGAGAGGTACAGGAGAGAAGGAGGAGAGCAGAAGAGCAAAGATGGAAACACAGCAGGCAGACAGGGCTGCACATAATGTGGTGTGAAACCACGACTGCAGGGGAGGAGGCACTCAGGGAGAAAAGGGCATGGCTGGTATAGGCAGCGTGAGAAAGACAAAACTGTGGGGAAGACACAGGAAAGAGAGAGTATATCTAAGGGAAGGTAAGAGCAAGACAGAGAAAAATGAGACTGGAAAGAGTGGGATAATGAATATTGCAACTGTAGAGTGGCCCCAGCTGGCTCCCAGGATCTCAAGCACAGTGGGTCCCCTATAAACGTTTGCGTATAGGCAAAAATTGTAAGCCTTACAATTTTGGAACCATCAGCAAAAAAATACATTGGTAATATCCTATTCACTTTCTTTAAACTTATGGAGAATCACTGGCTATGGACAGAGGACTTCCCTCCCTGAAATACGCCATGAAGCGGGAGCTTTCTGGTACCAATACGAAAAACAGACAGTGGAAGTGACAAGCAGAAGGAAAGGAAATTAAACAGGCTGGTATCACTCCAGCCAGCTGAGTGGAACACTAGAGCAGAAAAACCAACATGAACTCCTAATTAGTTTTCAGCTTCTATCTTTAATAATCTGAGATACCGCTAACACTAACCCACTTAGGAATGCTAGTGGCAGGCCTTTAAGAGTCATGAGCAAGGTACCAAAAATCTGAGAGTCTTTTCTTTAAAGAAGTCACAATTCCTGGTGGTTTTTTTCTTCTTTAAACAAGCAAACAAACAAATAAACAAATCCTGTGTTTTACAGTTTCCTCTTTTCTTGTCTTCAACAGAGGTACTAGAAATGTAATCACATTTTTAAAGCAAAGATTAATTTCACAATTACAGCCTGACTTGGGGAGGGGGAGAACGCTACAGTTAGGTGACACAGAGAAGGTTTGACAGTCCACAACACAAAAGGAGCTTTATCCTGCCAGACTCCCTTGCAAGAGAAGTGCCCCCTTGCAGTACATCTCTCTTTGCACTTCCCCCCTCAGCTGGGAACAGCGCAAATACCTCTCTCCCTGCTTCCAGACCCGCTGCTGCTGCTCTGCAGGACTCTGCCCCATCCTAGGGGTGTGCTTCTCACATTCCCTTTACAGCCCGGCAGGAGCCAGCCACAGGAGGGACATCCAAATGTCAGGCCTTGAAGCTGCTGTGCCAAAGGACAAATGAAAATATCTCCCAGGGACTCTGGGGAAGCCATGTCTTTCCAGATTTTATGCTAAGGCTCTGTAGTATCACGCTATGCTCTTATAAATTCCTTGCTTGCATGGCTTCCATCCAAGCCTGTCGAGGCTATTTACATACACCCACCATATTTACAAGAGTGCTGTGAAGAAGCAAAAGACAAACCCAAACCAAACCATGCAGTGAGTCAGTGGCAGAAATGCTGATAAACCCAGACTCCTTGCTGCCTCCTTCTTCATACTAGGTAGACAATGCTGCCTTTCTTCTTCTCCCTTCAACTGTCCCATGACAGATTTTGAAGAATAAATCTATGAAGGGTTAATATTCCAGTTTCTGCTTAGGCAGAGGAGCCAAGAACATTAAATCCAACATTAGGGATGACCCCACAATAGGTAACCAGTTTGGAAATCCCAGGCCTGGTTGCTTCACACCTCAAGTCCAGCACATTAGAACTGCCTTTTTTGTACCACCTTTGATTTCTCTCTTTGCAGGAAAAAAATGAAGTTGCTGAGTCTGAGAAGGTCTAGCACCAGTTTGTCCTATAAGGTGCAATCTGACCATACTGCTCATTTAGTTTTCTCCCTCTATTTCCTAAACCTTGTTTCCTCTCCCCCTTACAGCCCAGCTCCACAACCTGCACTGTCCATTCAGTGGTGACAAATTCTTTTAGTCCAGTACAGTCCTGGCAGATGTTGTTCCTCAGGCCATGAGGTCCACATTCTGAAGCAGAGTACAAATGACTGGCACTTGCAGGGCCCACAGAGGGAATGAGGATAAATTTACCAGCCAGTTGCCACTTCACTCTCACTAACCTCGAGCCAGTGATCTCTGTTGCCAAAGCACTGAATGGAACAGGAAGGCTTGCACTACATCTAGGAGAGAGGTCATCCCACAAATGGGGAGGGTGGAGAGGGAAGAAAGCCAAAAAATTTAAACGAAGCTGACAAGAACTAGGAGAGTGACAGAAGATGGAACATCTGGTCTGCTGGCTTGCTCTGTCCTGCAAGCACACACACACAGACAGATGTGGACATGTGCACACACTCCTCCTGTCTGCTACATCTGGGCATCTGGACCTCTGTCAGCTCATATGGCCAACTCTCCATCCCTCCTCAGTGTAGGTTCTTTGGCTACCAGATCCCACAAACAAATCAAGTCCTTATGTGGACGTGAGTA